TCATTCCACACAGTGCTGTTTTGAATAGCTGCAGCTTTCAGGTGTGCAGATCAGCACCTTAGCACCAAATGTATTTTATACCTGAACACTTCAGTAGGGACCTAATAAAACTCCTATATCCAGCAGATCAAAGACATCTACATGTAATGTTGATGCTTGTTTTCTGGCAGGCATGAGGATTTTTTGTTAGAAATTTACATCAAGGTTCAAAATGAAAAAAGAAATATCATATTGCAGAACAAGAAACAGATGGACCAGAGCAAAGATAAGGGATCACTTGATTACTCCTGAGGTTAATTATGATTGCTCAAACACTGGTCCTCACAAATTGAACTACTGTACTTGAGAAAATAAAAACGATTTTACTGAATCTAGGAATTTATCTTTTAAAACTACAAGAATATTTGCTTTCCTAACACAACACTATTTATATTTTGAAGAAAATGGTGTTAAATAATTTCAAAATCTAGTCATCTTTCAATACTCTTCTTGTATAAAGTGTAGTTTTCTTATTTCAAGACAGTGACCCTTGTTCACAAAGAAATCCTGACACTGTGCTTATCTCGTACCAGTTTGTTTCTAAAGCTAAGGTGACATGTTGTGCAGACTAATAATCATGGCTCAGTTGTTATTGCCTTAGAAATTTAAAGAAAACAACATTTTGGAATGCAAAGGGAGGTTTTGGCGCCCTATTTCAGATCCTGACAAAGCCGGTTTGCACTGAGGGAAAAATTAACATAAACTCAGAACATTGAGGTGGCGCAGCAGAGACACTGTTTAAATTTGTTTTCTCTCACCTTCTATAAATATCACGTATATTAAAGAGGGATGACAGAGGAGGCAAAACATTTAGCAGTTATACAGCTTGTGCATACTGGCATGTGTACTTGCATGCATACAGCAATACGTCTGCATTTGTGAATTTGGATGACTGGCTGGACCTGATCAATAAGATGCATATTAAGAGCCAGAAATATCCCACAGCTTAGACACTGCGCTTAATGGTGTTGACGCCCTGAATGAATACAGACTGTGCAAGTCTATAGATGGTTGTCTGACCTGAGAATATGGTGCTTATTAGCCAGATGTGGAAATTGAGAACTCAACTTTCAGTTATGACATTGCGGAAGTTGTTGGTAACTTGTTCCTTCTGCGGCTTTGCTTGGAATAAAACCAGGGATAGCAGCTGTATCAACAGCTAGTACCTGAAAATATTTTGACATATAGCCTACTGTATAATATTATCTGACACCCATCTCATTTAGCAATTGTAAAAACAAATTTTGACTTCCTGCCTGTTGAACTTCTGGAATATAAATAAACTCTTGTCTGTTTACAAGAGTCAAGATCTGTGTATGTGTTTCCCCTGTAATTCTTTTGATGCTGTTCAGTAAAGCCTTTCCATATTTATCAATCTGCCTCCTTGTGCTAATGCATGTCGAAGGGGCTATACAGAGCTTCAGTCATATAATTGTTAGTTATAATATGCCCTCAGAGCAGTGCTGCTACGTCAGGACAGACTGAATGCTACAATGACTCACTATCGGAAAACAACAAGCCGGGGCTAGCTGGTTAGCATGCTAAATTCAGTAGAACAAAAAAGTGGTAGAAATAGAAGGTGTTAACATTGGCGTTTCCACTGCTGGAGACAGCTCTTGATGAGTAAAGGAATGAAGTTTGATGCTGAACTCGGATCATTGCAACATTTCTTCTAGACTACTAAGTAAACAGCTGTTAATTCTAACATTGGCTATGTAACAATAGCAAAAATGTACATATAACTCCTTTTAAAAAAACAGGTTATACTGCATGTACTACAACCACACACTAAAGACCTCTGTTAGTTAAAGTAAGCATGTCAGAGACAAGCCAATAAAATAATTACAGACAGTGAGATTTCCTCTGGCTGTTTGGAGTAGTTTAACAGATGGTGTGGAAGTGGGAATTGAGAGGAAATGCAGGCCCACCTCCAAACCCCAGTGTTTTAATGGTCAGATCTCTGTGTGGATCCCACTGTACTGCACATTTGGGATGATGTTTTCATGTTGGTATGTAGTTCCCTTTCTACACCATACATAGTGCTGCATGTTCTCCCCAAACAATTCAACCTTAGTTTCATCAGTCCATAAAACATTTTGCACCATAATCTGCGTGAGGTAGACTCATGAAAGGGGATGTTAACCTGGTCCATTGATTCTTTTAAGCCTTTGGCTGTTACAGGGCTTCATTTTTACTGATCATCACTGATCATTCTGCGTCGTCCTTGGAGTCATCTTAGCTGGACGCCCACTTCTAGGCAGAGTAGCCACAGAACTAAATCTTTTCCATTTCTAAACATTTTGTCTGACTGTGGACTGCTGAATATGTAAACTCTCTGAGATTACCCACCAATTCTTGATCCTAAGTCGTCTGAGAACTCTTTATTGCGAAGCATGGTTTACATCTGCAGATGCTTCCTGTGAAGCAACTTAAAATGTTTTTAATTAGAATTTTTTTCACTTGGTTTTTCTTGCCATTGTATCTTTGCGTGTGCATGTGTGTGTCTGTGCCCGCAGCAAAATACAATCCAGCATCATGTTAGTGGCATTACACTGCTGATTAATTCCACAGACATCTGTCAGACAGCTTCAGCCTGGGCTGAGCTGTTACTCTTAGTAGCATCACAAGACAGTGCCCTAAGAAAGAAAAGGCCCCATCCATATTACTGTACATACCATAATCATATGGTGATGGTGGAGAATATCAGATAGATTTACTTGATCAGTGTAATTGCTGGTGTCTTAACTTTTAATGAGTGTTTATGATTTGTGAAAACTCAAGAGTTTTACTCCACTATATTTCAAAAATACAAGTTAGTGACATTGGTGCAAAAAGCAGATACTCACAGGAATCCATTCATACAAAGGTAACTTATATAATCATGACAGTGCTGCTGCTGTGATACTTCCGCAGAGCAATGTTTCAGTGGTTGATGAAGCTGCTGTGGTACACTGTGTCACATCCAGCACAACAGTGCAGTTGTTAGTCATTTTACATCCAAATGTAGCGCAAATTGTAACTCAATTTCCAGGACATATGCAGTAGAGAAAAAATGCAAATGAATGTGTGTTTCCATCCACTACTGTTACGCAAATATTTGGAGTTGGGTGCACCAACACAAACAGTTGGTGGCGCCAATTCTTAAGTCTTCACCACTCTTCACTGACAAGTAATGTTTAATGTTTAAGTCAAATGCTTCATGTATCACCCCCCCCCCACCCCCTACCCCCCCCCCCCCCCCCCCCCCAGCCAAGCATATTCTTATTTTTTATGCAGATAAATGGGTGGATGATAGAAACATTTGTTGCAATAATGACAGAAATGCAGAGGTGGCTGTTTGTGTTGTGTTTTTTTTCTTTTTGAAAGTTTTCTTTGAATAATAAGATCAGTGTTCTTCAACGCTGAAACCCTGGGGTCTCCTGACCTGGATAATCTAGCCACGCTGTAGATTTATGTGTTGAATTGAAAAGGATACACTGACAGGGTTAAAAAATGAGCTGGTAAACAGACACGTGCTGTACAAGGAATCCCATTTAAAGCTGAATATCTGCTGGCATCTCTGACAAGGCCAAAGACTGGAAAAGCCAGAATTCTTAGTGTACATGGCTCCACTGACCTGCCAATAAAAGCTTTATGGAATCCTGCGGTATATTATAGTATATAATATGCATTATATATGCATCTAAAGAAGCAGAGTCACCTGCTAAGAGCATCAGTGGTGCCATAAGCAAATAAAAACATTACATGCTGTAGTCAGACAGTCACTCAGTACCTCTTAGTCTTTCATTATAGACTTAAAGGAGGTCATCTGACTGTCCAAAACAGTGTTTACAGTTACTTCACTGTCCAGTCACCGCTCACAGCAGAGCACGAATCTCTTCGAGAGGAGCTCTTTGAATACAGATTTGTTTTGTAACACATCAGTAACAAGAATGAAGATAGAAAATGAAACTTATGAAGGTCAAAGGTCTGTGACAGAAAAGGATGGTCATGAAATCAGTGTAACAATAAACATTAAACCCTTCAAGTGTATCAAATTCCAGCATTGCATGGCACACAAAACTTTATTTCCATATCAGCACATTGAGTGAGTTCTGGGTGTATCCTGTGGAAAGACAAAAACACTCATGCATGTCCAAGAGTTGCTATTATAAGCTTTAATAGTGCAGACACTGTGTGTGTGTGTGTGTGTGTGTGTGTGTGTGTGTGTGTGTGTGTGTGTGTATCTGTGTGTGTATGTGTGTGTGTCTGGGAGAGACAGAGATTTTCTTAATCCCACTCAACTTTTAACATTTCCTACTTTGTATGGGTAGGTTGCTTGAGTGCCAGAAATAGAAAGAAGACATAGCAATTCTCTTAATCATAGTTGACCACAGTGGTGGACCAGCCAACAGAGTGACATTGCCATCCACATAGCTATGCTACTAGCGTGGCTAAATATAGTATAATTCCCTAAAGGTGGAACTGTCCCTTTGCAAGTAATACATTCCCTGTTGCAAGCAAATGCACACACATGTACACACACAAGCACACTCTCATCTATTTCCTTCAAATCTCCATAATTAAATCTCTGTCATCGTTAATATGCTCCATCCTCTCCATACCAGATAGACAAATTAGGGCCTTGATCATAAGTACAGTACATGTGAAGCTGAACGGTCCAGCGGGGAACAGGGGCCTGAGAGACAGCTGTGCAGCTTTTGCTGACACATCTTTAAAAATTCATGGCCCAGAAAACAGGCCATGCAGACGGGGCTGTGGCAAGCAGAGGGATTCACTGATGCCATAATTGCCATTCTGCAGGAGCAGAAACATTCATAACCTGTAAACAAACTAAGTCCTGCACACCCACACAAACGGTAAAGCGCAGGAAATGGTTTGAGAGGCCTCACAAAAACAGAAGTAGAAGTAAAACACCTCTCAATTTTAAACTCAGCTGCTCTACATTTATCTTTTGTTAATATGTGGCTATGAAACAAGACATCACCTAAGAATGAGCACATGTAACAGCAGCACCTGGCAATGCTCCAACACCAGAACAATCTTTAAGAAAACCACACAGCTGCAAGCATTTTTCATTTTCCTTCTTTTATTGGACACCAGTGTTGCCTTGTATAAGGATATGGTTGTTTTCATCAGTTTTTTTTTTCTTATTCATCCTTCACAGTTTATTCCAGGTGGCACATACAATTGGTTGAACTGCATTTCTGATGTATTTTGTAACATGCTCAGGCAGGGTCGCTCACATCAGATGATTTGAATGAGCAGAGGAGGTGATGGTTGGGTCGGCACAAACAGCAGTGCCTTCAACATGTTTTTTTTCTTTTTGTAACAAAATGAGTCAGTCAAGGCAAATAAAGCACATTTACATCTGCTGTTTAAAATAACCAAGCTTGGCATAACATCAAATATTTTAAATATGTAGGAAAGTTGAGCAAAAATTGTAAAATTTTAAAAATGATTATTTGTACTTATTTTAACCTAATGTATTGCATCACCACAACTACAATTGTGTCAATAATTAATCAGATTATAGTATAGTTTAACATGAAGTATATTTGATTTTTAATTATTTGTCTGGGATTTGATTCCAGTTTTTTAAAGCCACTATGTGCAGAATTTGAATATAGCTGACTTTGGCGCCCCTAGTGGTAGTATTGAAAAATACAGCAATGACTCAACCCAAGGACAGTGAGATGAATGGCCTGTCTTATTTCTTATAGACAATATATGCCACTAGGATAATTTGGAAAATACGCTACAATCGTATAGAAATCCTACACATAGAGGCTTTAACTTGTTTTTCTGCCTAAACATTAGTAGTCAGTAGTTTCGTCAGATTAAAACAAATGGCAAAATGTATTTGCATTTACTAATTGACCCACTTCATATTAAGTTTGTAATGTCATTTGTGATACAGCGTGTCCTCACAAAACCATCTCTGCATCTGACACTCTCTGCTGGGTTAAACCTGCACTAAGATCATCAGCATGAACAACTAGGACCGAACAGTAGAAGACGTTATCATCATGAGGTGGGATACAGCTGCAGAACTAATAGACACATAAACAGTGGCTGGGTTTCACACTGTAATCATGTAGGAATAGGAGTGTCTTGCTCAAGATCCGTGCGGCTCATCATACGGCTGCTATGGGGGGATCAAACATGTGACCTTACTATGACCAGACTCCAACCAACTGGTCACCCTGCAGCCACACATACTGTGGCTAGATAAATGTGACCAGTTGGCCTGAGACAGGGAAGGAAATGGACAATACCGTCATTGTGTGTTCTATTTTTGCTCTGTTTCATTACACTTTTTTCCCCCCTGATGGAACTCATGCTAACACTGGCAGCATTAAAGGAATAGTTCGACATTTTGGGGAAAATGCATTGATTCACTTTTTTTCCCACCCAAGAGTTAGATGAGAAATGTAACGTGTGCATTTTAGAGTAGTATTGATTTTCTCGTGTGCTTATTAGCAAGAAAGCCAATACGTGTATTTCCCCAAGTGTCAAGCAAGTCGACACTGGAAAACACAAGCATGATCATGACACTGTAGAGCACACGTTGGCTTGTTACAACTGCTCGACATGAAACTTGTGATTGGAATGTAAAAAACTGATGATATGCTGCCCTTGTTGCTGATGGTGATGATATTGCTCTTACACGTTCTTCCACGCTAGATCAATAACTGAAACCTGATGTATGATGTCACTGGTTAAGACTTTGTGCTTCGAACTGACAAGATGCACACAACACGTGACAAGTGAGCTGTGCAGGTTGAAGCAGGAAGAGCACGGCTGCAAACACTCGGATGTTTTTTTCCTTTGGTGACAACTGCAGTTTGTTTCGACTTTGTTTAGACTTTAGAGAAGTTTACTTTTAAAGAATGATCGGAGATCGGGAAACGAATTGGTCGCAGCGCTAAAAGACCAACGTTTACATCACAGATTCATCTCCTTTTCGATAAGAGATCCCGGCTCTGGAGCGGGTCTTCCATCGGTCAGATAGGATGGAATGAAGGTTTGAAGCCAAACATAATGGGTATAGGTAAAAATCTGTGTACCAAAACACATACACATTTAAAAATCATCATGCTTACTTAAATTTCACACCGTGTCACAACTCATTCATTCACAATACTGGGCAGGAGAGAAAAAAAAAAATATAAAGGTGCAAATAAGAAAACATCACAATAAGTAAAACAAATTGGTCTAAGTGTTCATCATGTTCAGTTCTCAGTCTCCAGGAGCCACATGTGCGGTCGGACTGGAAATGATTAAATTTTGTTTCATCTCATTAACTTGGTCCAGCTGTATGTAGCTCACTTTAAGTAAATTTTATGTGACGTCAGGGGTCATTAATGCGTCACATATTGTCCTGTGACTGATCCACAGTTTAACCAAGAAAATCAAAACACATGTAAGAGCATGATCAGCATTAGAAATGTCCCTCGTTTGAATGATTCTTTTTGCCTTGATACATCTCAAAGGCACTGGACCTTATTCAGTTTTAACAGACAAGGAGTGGATAAAAGCATAAAGCACCGAACTATCCACATGTTCCGCACCTCGAGTCTGAGGAGCATTTTGAAGGGTTGTGGTACACTCCATGCACTTTCCATGCAGAGTCATCCATTGTTGCGATTCTGACGATATGGCACGGGCACATTTATCACGCTTAAGTAACATAACATTTCTTTTTACGAAAAAGAAAAAAAAATTAAATCAAGTACATTGTTGTCCATCTGCAAGGCCTGCAAGTACAAAAAAACCAAACAAAAAAACATCTGTCATGGTGGCTTCATGAGCGAGTTATTTTTTTCTTGTGCACAGAAAAAACAAAAAAAAAAAAAACAATTATAAAAAGGAACACAGGACAGCGGCTCAGTTCTTCCTGTGCTCTGATGCCAAAAACAAAACACATTAACTAACATTAACACAATTTAATCTATATGGTGTCTAAAGAAACAAAGTCACCCCATTAAAATGCCACTTAGTGACATCGAGTCCTCAAGTCTGTTTCTGTCACTACCTCTCTTTATATGAGTGTCTTGCCATTATAGAGCCCAAGGACAGTGCGAGAACATGTATCAAAGAGACCACTGTTCCCTTGGCTTGGCACTTGGCAAGTACAGCAGTTACCAAGAGGCGACTTCTAGCAGCCCCTCTAAAGAAGTGGGATAGGCTTTTTTAAATGTAAGGAGCCTGCCTGTGATTGAATCATACCAAACAGTCAGTGATGACGCCAGATGAAAGGTAAGGTAACTCCGTGTGATGTTCTTTTTTTTTTTCATATCTCATTATATATGTTGATAATGCTTCCTCTCTTCTCTTCGTGGCCACTGACAAAAGAAGAATTCACATTAATCCTGAAAAATCACATTTGGCAAACAAAGACAATATGGATACACTGTGGTGTGCTCGTTTTCCCTTTTCGGTGAAGGGTTAAAATGCAGCTTGGCTAAACATTCGAGGGAATATAGGACTTAAGACTCCATTTCTAATGGCTCCTGCTTTGAACTAAAGCTCTGTCTGGCACCAGAGAATGCCTATCAAGCGCTTGGTTGAAGGAAAGCAGAGAAAAATCCTTTCATACACACACCAGCCAGCTTTCACTCTCCCCCCTGCCACTCTTTTTTTTCCTCCATAAAATTTCAGCCCTATTCAAGCTACTAGGTACTAGACACCATTATCTCTCCCTTGTTCCTCGCATTTCGCCAGTCTTTCAGTGCGTTTTATTATTCCCCCCGGTCCTCCATTCCTTCTGTCTCTGTTTAACAAAGACCCAGAGGGGGGTTAGGTCCAGCTGCCCCATATGTCAGTCAGATACAGTAGTCAGCATACAAAAAACCCCCATCCCCCACACATCCACAACCACACACTCTCACCTTCATTAGTCCCAGCTGAGGCTTCCCATAAAAAGAGACACATCTGTGAACACACAGTTTCAGAAACACGGGGTAGAGATATGGCAGGTTTTTGGGAATGTATGATTATTTTACATTTTGTGTGTGTGTGTGTGTTTGTGTATTTGTGTGTGTTTTTGTGTGTGTGTGTGTGTGTGCCAATGTCTACTCTGTCCCTGATGCTGCTGGTCTGGGTGGAGGACATTCTTATGATAATTAGGGATTAGCGGGAGTGTGTATGGACACAGATGCAGTGCCGAGGTTCCTCAGAGGAAACATGTGCACCCATTTATGTCAGGACAACAACTTCCTGCTTAGTCACGACCTAAAAATCTTATTCTGCTTGAACTGACCACAACATCACTTCCCAAAAGCACTCTAACTCCCTCCTTCCTGGGGGGGGCAGTGTCCCACCCTCATGCGCAGCGTGCCGCTTTTGTGGAGGTGCCAAAGCTGGACAAACTCCTCTGGCATGGCGTGGAACCACTTATATGGCAGTATGTTGTCATAGTAATGGTGGCTGACTGGCTGCTCGTCCAGGCCGACGGAGAACGGCCAGAAGCCGTAGGCCGTCACTTCCTCGCACAGCCCGAGGGCCAGGCTGATCAGGAAGAGCCCTGTGGAGAGGCGTTTGGCGTGCACGCTGCGGGCCTTCCAGAATTTGCCCACGGTGCGCAGGAATTCGGGGTTAGCAAACAGCATGGTGAGGTTGGAGGAGGTGTCTGCCAGGGCGTAATACGCCCGCAGTGATGGGTCGGTGCCGGGCTTCATGGAGAACGCTGGCATGTAGATGTAGCTGGAGCCGTAGACCTTCATACTGTCCACAAAGGCTTTTCTCGACCACAGAAGGTTCTGAAATCTGAGTGACGAAGGCAGAGTGATACAGAGAAAAAGTGTTTATTCTAGTTATTCTACATGTTGTGGTGAAACAACTGAGATAAAGTTTTGGGTCATACATGATCTCCTGTGTAGTCATCTGCTCCTTCTTCCTTTTCTTTGCCTGTCTATAGAGGAAGTGAGTTTCCTTCATTCTCATAAAGGAATAGGGTCATTGTGGTGTTGACTGGTTTTACTAAACGTTTTGCTAATTTAATTTAGTTAGGGCGAAAAGTTTTGTGAACTGCGCTTTTAAGTTTAATCGTTGTTTCTCATAAATCAGTATCTCAGTACATCTACAGGCACCATCACACTGATTCCACCTTGTAACCCATCAGCCTTTTCTATCCATCTGTGCTAAGATGCTCAAACAGACTCTGTATAATTAGATGCCGACATGTTTCTGATTCCGTGCGATGTTCGAAGTTCAACCTGGTTACCTCTTCTCGATGATGCTGGGGTTGGCTGTAACCAGATGTGTTCTGGTTCCTACATCCTCCACATATTCCTTTGAGAGTGGCGGGAGGTTGCACCTAAATCAGCAAAACACACACGATATATCCACAATGTTGATTGATGTAAGCTGTTCAAACACACACACTAACACACACACACAAAGTATAAACACTTAAATGATTCATTTAAGTCATTATGGCTAATTAGATTTGATTACAATAGTGAACAGAGGCCGATGAGAGCTGCCCCTGCTCATCCAGAGTAGTCGTTATATTTTAAATCATTAATAACCGTAGTGATGATGTCCCTGTGTAATTACAGCCTATGCTGCTGTGGTTGAAATGGTTGAACACAACTTTCCTCTTCACTTTCTTCCTCTGTCACACACAGGAACACAAAGTGGCACAGCGTCCCTTATGATGCTAATTAAAACAATAACATTGCATCCAAAAATTTATATTTCGTGTTTAATGGATTGAATTACAATAATTATGGTTTAATTGCTTCCCCACATGCATGATCTGTGGTTTATGACTTCTGTCACATCAGAGATGTTTATGATCAGCAGATGCAGGAATTGAAAGACAGCTGAAAAGGGCTTTTTGTTTTGTGAATGCTGAAAAATGTCTTTGTGTGCTTGCTATAGTTCCCCCCTCTCTCCTAGTTTTTGATAAGCTCCTACTTTAGTTTAGGTTCAACTGTCTCAGAAGTTCAGTCTTCTGGGTCCGTGCTTGATGTTGACCAGTCACTGTTTGACTTTTACTTCCCTGTCAGTTGCATTTTTTGGAAGAGTCATTCAAATCTGGCTGCCTGAGGAAGCTGGATGATCATTACTGTCGATGAAAGAGTTGATGCAGCCTGAAATTGCTTAAAATTTAAATTTTTGTCACAGTGGGTGGCACAGCGGTACAGTGGTTAGCTCGCATTAAGAAGGTTCTGGGCTCGAATCCCGGTTGGGGCCTTTCTGTGTGGAGTTTGCATGTTCTCCCTGTGCCTGTGTGGGTTCTCTCTCGGTACTCCGGCTTCCTCCCACAGTCCAAAAATATGCACAATAGGTTAACTGGCAACTCTAAAGTGCCCATAGGTGTGAAAGAGAGTATGAATGCTTGTGCGTCTCTTTATGTCAGCGATAGACTGGCGACCTAAGCCTAAGCAGTATAGATAATGGACGGATGTTTGACAGAAACTGGCATAAATGATGACAAGACATTTTTCTTCTCTCTTCCAGGCAAAACTTGAGTTTTGCCTGGAAGAGAGTTGTTGTTAGGCCGTTTCAATTCCAGCTCCTTTCATCTCCTTTCAAAACACGTCTGGTAGGTTTCTTCAGCCTTTCTCCAAAGAAAATTGTTATTGTTGTGCAGCAGATGGAGAGTGCAATATCCTGCTGGGGGGCAGACGGGGGTCTCTTTTTATGTTAATTTCAGATTTTTGGCCACATTTTAAAGTGGTTTAGTTGCAGTGTCTTGGGGTTTTGTGCAACAGTGTCACTTCCGTCAAACTGGGAATGAAACAAGAGCCTGTAAGAGCAGTGACATGGCGGTAAAGAAACACTGTAAAAAAAAAAAAAAAAAAAAAAAAAAAAAAAAAAAAGAGAAAGGTTTCCAAAGCAGGTCAGTAATCACACTCAGAACAAAGGAGGGAAGATGATGAATACAAAAATGGGAGATAATTTAATATGATCAATATGTGCACAAAAACAGGCCCTCCTTGGCATGAAGGACACACAAAAGACTTGATTGCATTGTGTTTCAGGATTGATGCTCATCCTCAGGCAGCATCACATTTCACCTCCTCCCCCTCCTTTCGTCTGGGTAAACTGACAATGATGAAAACACTGATGATCCACAAGCAGGGGTACAAATTTTTCTTTCACGTCACATCACAATGAAATTTAACCAGCACAGTCAACTCGAACAATCAGGATTAAGAGATCAAGTAAACAAGTTTGTTATTTTGCAGCAAGTAAAACACCGTAGTCCTCATCAGTCCGCACAGTCTGCTGTACATGCAGTAGCTTCTAGCTCTCTGTGGTGAAAAGTATCAAAAGCTAAAAGCCACATTTGTCGGACGGGGATCTAATTTATCAATCTTCAACGTACATAATTAGCTTAGAATAATTAGCTTGTCACACAATAGTAAGCCAACAAGCTCTCCAACCAAAACGACTGTAGGTTGTTTATCCCTACCCTCGGATACGACCTATAGGAGCGTATCTGATCTAATTGATATACTTTGTGTCACTGTGTAAATAGCAGTTCATGTTTATCAAACTGCTGCAGAAGAAAGTCTCTCATTTTCTTTTAGCTCCATCAGTCTTTCACACTGAGTGAGAATAAAATGGGTCATGGGTTTCCTGCAACGTAGGCGCAAGTAAGTTCAAACACTTGTCACTGAAATGCATGAGGTTAGCGTTAGGAAATCAACTGACCTGGAAAAAAGCAAGTAGCATGAGCTGTATGACTGTATTTTTGCTTTGTATTTAGAAGTGATTAGTGGTTTAAGAGCCTTTACAGTCAAAGACAGATATAATGATAATTTAGGCTTTTGTTCCACTACTGTGGATCAGAGGTTTTGCAAACATCTGTCAGGCAGTCGACCCAATCTAAGATGCCATGCATTTTTCTGATCTGAACTTAATGACTGTAGATTTTACATCAGTTCTCTCTTCAACCTATTCTGCTGCAACACTCTCTTCAGAGATGGTTTCCTCCTCCAAACCAACACACACACATCTCTTTTTCAAATGGGAAGCATCTTGATCTTATGTCCACAGTATGTAAATGATAAATGATTCTTCTCGTGTGATTCTAATAAAATCCCACATCATCACTCTGCATTTATTTTTTAGTTGAGGATTGAGTTTTCTTGAAGCTAAATATTTTTAATGCCCCACCAGATGGATTCATTCTGCTTTATGCCTCATCTTATCATCTTAGTCTGTTCCTATTTTGCTTGCTCATTCCTACCAACCTCTTTTCTCTCTTGCCCTCGCCCTGCCCCATTTTTCTGTCTGTCTGTCTGTCTCTCTCTTGCCTACAGTCGACACCAGCTCTCATTATCACTGATGGCTGATGGTGTTTGGCTGCTCTCTTGGGCACGGCTGATTCACATTCGAAGGCGCAGTGAAGCAGTCATATTCGTGCACACACTTGCAGCCACAGAAACAGAGAGTCGTTTATTTCTCACCGCATGACGAAGTCGGCCTGGTCAATGTGCCGTCCACATTTGCTGTGTCTGAGGATGCCACCGTTGCCCACCACCGCACACTTCTTCAGGGGCAGCTGCAGAGGGTTGTCCTAGGGAGAAAACATCATGCATCTTTGTTAGAATGCACATGGACATAAACACATAAAGCCAGTTACACACATGCACAAAAACAAATATCAATTTTCTCTGAACTCCCTCCTAAACTTCAGGCAGGCGCATGAATCACTCTGTGTTCAGCAGATCTCGGGACCTCAGCTACTCCTCATTTCCCCTTCACAGCCTTACATGCTGACAGACAAACGAGCAAAGGAGATATGAACCGAGGAGCTGCACAAAACCAAGTCGGGGTCATACATCTTATGAATCAGCTTCCGTTGCTCGCATATGCTCCTTGAACAAGGAGATATTTGTGGTGAAATGATCAAAAATACCAACCATGTAAAATCTGAAATTAAACAGGGTGTTCAACCAAGCAAAAAACACTGTATCATAAAAATAAACAAAGATTATCTAAATCATCTAGCCAAAAACTATACAGTGGATGTACACTTTGACCTAAAGGTCCTCACATTATTTGTCACATAAAACGACAGATTGCAGTGGTCCAACCTTTTTTATCTGACATACTCCCACAGCCCTGACAGAAGTATCCTTTCATTTCAACTACTTTTAAACTCCATATTATTAATGTGATTATATAAAACTTGATATTGTTACAATAATTTTTAATACAACTAAACTGTTGCATTAAATGTTGAGATTGGATGATCGTGCTACCACGCGGAGCGCAGTGTTGGGCGTTGAGTTATTATCACCTTTTAGCTAATTATTTCAACCATTTATCCCCCACTTTTGGCTAACTATTTTAATGCTTTATTATGTACTTTTAGCTAACTATTTCAACCATTTATCCCTTTCTTTTAGCTAACTATTTCAACTGTTTATCCATTATTATTAGCTAGCTATTGCAACCATTAATCCTTTACTTTTAGCTAACTATTTCAAGTGTTAACAATTTCACAATCTTCCACGTACCCCAAAGCAACTGGAAAAATCTCCTGGTTGTGAATTACTGCCCTATCATCCTCTAAATTAAAGCAGTGTATAGACCAGTATTAAATCTGTTACAGAGGACACTGAAATACCACACTTCATGAAGCTAGGGCCAAAAATGTCCTTACTCTTTGCCTTGGCTGCATTTAAGTCAGTGGCATGGATTAAGCAAGACAGCGGAAACAATTGTGCTCATTATTCCCCTCGGAGCGCACACACACATACACACAAATGCACACACACACTTCTCTTTGCCTCAGGGTCTCTTTTGGACCGTGACAGGGGGGTAAGTCAGTGGACAACAGCCTGCTAACAGGACATCAAGCAAGGGAGGGGAACCAGTTGGGCTTTAACTTATAGGATAGGGACACTGTCCAGTCCAGCAGCTTCTGTAAAGCTTTTAATCCAAATCTTTTACCAATATCTTGACAGATTTTGGTTTAGTTTGTTCCCTAAGATTTTCAAGTAATGCTTTTGTCCATAAAATGTCAGATCCCGAGCTGGGCCAAAACTTTTTGACTGTTTTTTGGTTGCAGTTTCATAATGACAAACCTTCAATGTACGTGTTTGTCATGTGATTTATGAATGATCAACAATATTTTGTTGCAATTTACAGACTTTTGTGTGGGATTGCCAAACCTTTCATGATGCTGAAATTAGATTCTTTTATTTAAAGCCTATCCTTTATCCCAGCCATGTCTGTTGCGTACACTGTCATGGGACAACAGAAATGGGAAGTACAAGAAGGTTACATCAGAAAAGAAAAGATCATAGGACTCTACTGTACAGTCCAGTAAGCTGTGTGTATGGATGCTCTGTTTGAGCTATTGAACCAACCAGCAATTAACTGTCAAAGCCCTAATTGGCACATTCCCTGGCAGATGCCCAGATACTGTAGCCGCTGCCAGCTTAGTGTAGTGTGGCTGGTTGTCTGTGAACAGACCTGCAATCACAGCACTGGTAGTTAAGAGTAGAGAGTATTTATGTCCGTGAGTCTGAACATTGTCCATCCCACCTAAATACCAGTTACCTTCCTTCTGGGAAACACAGAACTGGCCACAATATAGGCTTGTACAGTAAGTGCAACCATGCTACTAAAAATAGGGCTTGCAAGCATTAGATAGAGAGTCACAAGAGCACAAAGTTGTACAATGCACCGACGTGTCACCACAACCATGGGAATGGTGATGCACTGGAGTCAGAAACAAAGAAAAATAAGGAGCAGCAACATCCCAGTGCGACAGAGTCATGATGGATGGAACAGAATGTAACATCTAAGTGTGATTATTGCTGAACCTGTGTGTGAACCAAGAATATTTGTCACAACACAGATTACTCACACAAACGCACAGCCAAAGAGTTAAGGAAATACAATGGATAACTGTGAAGATTAGCGTTAAAGGGACAGTCCACCCAAATCACAAACATACCTTATTCTTCTTCTTATTCTGAATAGAATCTATGTAAATATAGTTGGTTTTATTCACTGAGGTTGTAAGATATCTGCTTCATAGATTCAAATTATGTTGATTAAGAAACCAGGACATTCCTTCAGGAAAGACAAACTGCTGTTGAGTTTTCCAAATGTAAAAAATGTCTTATAGGTGGTGGCAAATATCTCAGCTGTGGATACAGTCTGCAGAAAAATTATTTCTTTATTATTTTTTAATTTTCATTATTGACTAATCTCTTCATTACTTTCTCTGTTAATCAATAACACATTTTTGTCAATAAAATGTCATAAAATAGTAAAACTTGAGGTGATATCTTGAAACTGCTCATTTTGTCCAACCAACAGAATAGATCATAAACATAATTTTCTCAATTGACTAATCAAGGAATCAGCTCTAATTTGGATGAACCAGTATATTCTGAATTTACCACCGTCATTAGAAATAAAACAGTGTAGAAATTCTACTTTATACACACACACACACACACACACACACACACACACAAAAACCCAGTGACATTAAACTCTGTTTAAACCTACTGCTGTACATTCACTGGTCTTGCTCAGCCGCTCTCACTTCATATTCTCATCTCTTTATTTATTCATCCTCTCCTCCCCCATCCATCATGAATGAAAATGCACGGCTCACGCCTGCAAATTAGGGTCAGATATTCATCACATCTACAGACCGGCATATTAGACTGCAGTTGTGCGGCATCAGTAATAGGGATCCAATCTTGATTATTAGTGATTATCATTACTATCTTATTATTATTAGATGTGTTGCCCATGGATACAAAAACCACAGCAACAGCACTTACACCTGAATTTCTCATCCTGTCCTGTTTCCAGGCACAAACACATATAAACACCCTCATCCAGATGCGCACACACACCCACACACAGGCATGGAACCATGTAAAAATAGCCCAACAGCCCTTATCTGGGTACAGACACACAAACAGAGGCATAAATACACATTCTACGTCCATTTTTGCACTATGCTGAGGTCTGGAAAGGAAAAAGGGATAACTTGAGAGGGGTAAACTTGAAGCACATCCTCCTCCACTATTTACTCATGGTTTAAATACCCCTATCTTAGATTAGACCAAAGTGGAAAGAAACACGACAAGACAAATCCTCTTCTGTGATAAACACAGAGCAGGAGCCTCATCTGATGTAAAAAAAAATAAGTATACACACACACACACATATATGTGATACATAAATATTGTGGAGTTGAATAAATGAATATGAAAGAACATGACATATATCCTTGATTCTTGTATTTTAACTGATGTTTCCAGCATCTTTAAGTTGTCTTGTCGCACTAACCGGCTCCTCCTCATTCACATCTTCACAGTGACTCCCCCTCACACTGAAAACACTATAGCAGTAATCCTCTCTGCTTTTGAGAGTGTCTATCTGCTCCACAGCCTCCTCCCCCGCGTCATTATGGATCAACAAGGATCCATGCTAAAACCCACAGTACCCACTACAGTGTCGTATTGCGCTGACTGGTAGAAAAATCGTTTTCCAACATCTGGTCTTAGTTACATTTCAAGAGGACAGCTGCCTCTTTGAAAGTCATGTATCTTGATGACTGCAAGGAAGTCTGTGGCTGTCTGAGGGAAAAAAGGAACCATTAAATCTCAATGCAGAATAAAAGCCTCACACCCTTCAGACTGTCACTGCAAATACAATTGTGATTCAGCCAATTGTATTACAGCTACTGTTTATATGGATGGTTATTAAACTCTTTCCTACCTGCACAAAGAGTGGGTATGTCTCGTTGTTGACAGTGTGCGAGTGGTAAAACTCGCCATCGTACCACAGCACCTTGCCCATTGGTGAGTTCTCCTTGGTTACTGCAAACATCCTCTGTGGATCGCAGCAGTCTGTCAACAACTTCCTGTGCAGAGAGGATGTGAGAAATTATAATTAAATAAAAATAAGTTTAGACACTTTAACACAAATTGGATTTCACAGGGCATCAGGGGTTCTAGTCTAGGCTATAATAACTGCTTACTTAATTGCCTAGAGACAGCCTGAGCAAGATGTGTATTAATATGGTAGGACAAAGGACCACTGTGTGAGGTCAGTTACTGTACATGAGAGGAAATGATCAAATATTTTATCTTATTTGTGCCTCAATTTAATAATATCAGGCTGGAGATGAAAGGATTTGAGCATTCAGTTGCAGGCTCGTTGGAAACTGGGACTGTCCTCATCTCTCTCACTGTTAATTCCTCATCCCCATCTCATCTCATCCCCCAGTAGGCCCTGCCCGCTGCTCTGCAAGTGTCACCTTCTCTGATTATCCTAATCGGCATTGCCTCGGGAGAATCATCTGCACATGTTCTCTGCAGGATAATCTTTAAATAAGACTGTCACTGTGTAACGAACATGCTCTGTTGATAAAGTTTTCATTTAAAAACAGTGTCACTGCCCAAATACAAAAGCATCTGTGCTGCCTAAGTGTTTGTTTTTATGTCTGTGTGGCCTGTGGTATTACTGTGATATCTCTCACTGATGTCTTGCAAAGTTCTGACTGATGGAACATTTGAATGTTTTTTTTTTTTTTTGAGAATTACAGTTGTTATTTTTGCTTGATTCGTTTCTAATCTTTACACTTTAACACTTTGATATTTCCCTTCTCAAAAGTGGATACATGTCAAAAATAAAAACCATAAACAAATAGGAAAATCTGCACTTTTCTTGTTGCATTCTGTTATTCACTGCCCCTTTATTAGCAGGGCTCCTAGCAACCTATTTAAGGACAGATGGAGGCCCCGGGCCGCACATTGGGAAACACTGCTTTAAATCAATGAAGAGAAACGTGAGCCCTGAAACGAACCTGTACAAGTCGATGCCGGTCTGATTCTTCTGCCATATTTCCCCCTGCCTCAGCACCTCCTCCACTATTTCTTTATCGCGTGGGAGTCTGTACACGGGGAAAATGTAAAACCAGCAGAGCACCAGCACGCACAGGGCGGCCCACACCGACAGCTTGCCCCGGTAGCATCGCACCAACATCTTTCCCTCTCTTGTCCGTTGCACGGCTCAAAACAACCGGTGCATGCACATCCAAACCGGTGCAGTAAAAAGCAGGCTTGGTTCAAAGCTGGTCTCTCCGTCCACTGCAAACCCCCGTCTCATTCCGCAGACAGGGTGGAGGGGGTATGAATGGAGCTGCGAGGTAGTCTGTTAACCGGTTGTTTGGCTCAAGCATCGGTTTGGAAACCCGGTTTTCTGTTGGTGAGGATTTGATGGAGAGAAGCAAGAGTGGTTATCCCTGCAGCAGCGTCTCACGCTCGGTTGCGGGTTTGTGGTGCAGTGTGTCAGGCTCTGCAGGATTCCACCGCTCTGCTCTCCGTGCATCACCACCATCATTACAGCCTGCGGATCGTGAGGAATCATGCGGGCCCCCTCCCCGCCCGGTCTCCCGCTGCATCCCAGTCCGAAAGGGTGGTCCGCGTGCGTGTGTGTATGTATGCCGGTCCACTAAGATCCGCTTTCTCCCGCCCGATCCGGTCCCCTTCTCGGGCCTCCGCCGTCCTCGTCCTGCTGCTGCAGGGTCTGCGCTGCAAGTGAACCGGTCCAGTCCAATTCAGTCTCCCTCCTCCTCTTTCTCCTGTCAACACCCCCTCCGCCGAGACAAAGTGCTTCTTGTGCTGTGAGAGGCGCGTCCAGTCGGCCAGAAAAGCGCGGGTGAAAGCGGAAGTCGGCGTTCAAAAATAAAAGCACACATACACACTAAACTAATCAATAGCCCTTTGTTAGTGTTGCTGAGCTTAGCACTTTAAGTTTCTCTCCAGACATGTTCTGGACTATGTAAAAAATACTCTGCTATGATTGATATTTTGTTTCACAGGATTTTCCCACATATAAAGTTAAAAAACAATCAAAAACTGGGACTGTAAGCACATCTCTGCTTACTTCCTCATTGAGAAATCCGGATCAGGCCTTATGCCCCGCCCACCACCGCTGCTCGTGCTAGTTTAACAGGTGAAACGGCAGTGCCTATTAAGATAGATGGTTACCAGAAGAAATATCGGAGACTTAGCTATAAGTTTGAGCCTCAGTCAGAACAAGACTCAGGAGTTTTTGAGGAGTTTATTTTGCACTAAAGTCGGCGACTAGAAGACGTATCAGAACGGTAAGCGTAGTTAATTGGTTGGTTAGCTTGTAACTGGCTGACAGTGTTAGTGCCTGTGCTAATACAAACGGCTAGTTCTCTGCGCTGACTAGCTTTCGGTTAGCGCAGTTAGCATCTTTTATTTGTTTAGGCTGTTTGTTAGCTTGTTACTGGCAGTGTTGGTGGTTGTGCTGATGCAAACTGTTGCTCACTGTACGATTTCTGTCTTCTCAAATGTAAGGATTTGATGCTTTTCTTTGTCATACATAATAGTATACCTATAATTATAACAAGCATTTTTCACTATTTTTTGACATTTTATAAACAAAATTTTGAATTGCATTACTACGTACTAAAAAGTATTTACTAAATTACTAAAAATAATTGGGACACTAACTGATAATGGAAAGAATTGTTACTTGCTGCCCTAATGTAAACTTCCCCAGACCAAATAAAGAGCAAGAAAGAGTTTTTCTTGTTAAAACAACATTCATAATTAATGCTGTAAAACAAGAGCTGCAGAGCTTTTATCAACTGTAACATTTTAGATGCAGCTTGTTTTAATGTAGGTTATCTTTTCATGAATCGTGATATACTGTTACTGAAATGTAGAACAGAGATCTGTGGGTTTAGACTGTGCGTCTGCAAAACACAAGTCATCATGCTCCACTCGCTCGAGGATGTTGAAAATGGCGTCATGCATAATTACTGAGGCCTCAGAACGGGTGCTCTGGTTTACAAGTTCTAGTTTAACAGCTATTGATGTAAAGTGATTGTATAAAGCAGAAGACATACCTATACATGTGACGTCTCTTATGTGCAAAAAACATGGCCGGATTAACAAATGGGCCTACTGGCCACAGGCCTAGGGGTCGAAAGGTTTCGGGGCCTCTATCCTCAGTTTTCACATTGATAATTTAGGATTTTGTTCATTATCTACTCTGCCATATGGATATATGTGATATTTTCTTTTTTAGTCTTATTTGGGACCCATTCCCAATTTAATAGCTTAAAATCATTTATTATTATTTTGTATATTAAGTATTATTTTGAAACTCCTGCTTCCTTTCTGTTTTTATTCCTGTTGACTTGACACTGGCTGCTGCAGAACATTTAGCATCTCCCTAGCCTCCCGCTGAGCACAGTGATGTGATGAGCTGCCGCCCCCTGCTGGACTTTGTTTGCGTCAAATAAAAAATGCTTTCAAATGACTGAGACATTGCAGCTGATGTCAGCCACAGAACCACACCCTAACTCCACACTGAAAGCACCTTATGATCTTATTTAATCCACACATTTTCTACCTATTTCTATCTACAAATTAAAGCAGCATATTCAAATTATGCCCTACAATACTATATATTTTCTATTTTGTTCAGATTTTCAGCATACTTGCAGATGAAGTAGCTCTCGTTTAGACAAAATCAGTGTTCAGACTTTATTGAAGCTGATTTATTTCCATAGAAAACGTGGGTGGAGGCAGACACTGCACATTTTTAATGACTTGCAACACAGTATAAATATACAGTACAAATATAACAAAAGGAAGGAATTGTCATCAAATACCCTTCTTTCAGAGAGTCATGGTCAGGGACATGCATGAATGTAGATGACCTACAAGGCTGTGTGTGTGTGTGTGTGTGTGTGTGTGTGTGTGTGTGTGTGTGTGTGTGTGTGTGTGTGAGATAGACTATTAAAATCAGTTGCCTTTATTTTTTCTTAAAAAAGGAAAATGTCTTGTGCTGAAGGAACTGATGCAAATCTTGTGTATTTTTTTTCCTTCATTTGTTTGCGCATTAAAATAGAATTATTATAACATATGATATGTACACAGAGGCATTCCCACATATGCAAAAACACTTTTACCTACATATACCTAGATACATTAATTTGAACAAAACAAAAAAGGTAGGGAGCTAGAAGTGCATACAAAGATCTCTCCTAAAGACAGGATTAAGTCAAATAGTCAACACTATATAAGCAGACACGTCACTAAAACAATGCACTAGCAACCATCCTACAGTTATTTCACAGCCCCCCTGTCCCTTTGTCTGGATATACAGGCTGATAAAAGGGAGGGTAGTTGAGAAATGTGGGCTACTCAGGGCATCCACTGCACCCTATTAGGAATCTTGGAGGGCAGCGTCAAGGTTAGACCAGTGGGCAGAGGGATGCCATGGCAGGCCGTTTGGCTGAAGTCCTGTGTCAGCTGCTCTCTGTGTCCCGTGTCCAAACAAAGGTGCCAGTATGGAGGTCTGTAAGATCCAAAAAGAGTGAGGAGAGAGGCAGGCAGGGTTGCAGAAGAACAGAAGAAAAATGACTTGAATCTTCTTTGATATTCATTCTGCAGTTCTCTAGTTAAAGGCAGAACATTATTTATTATTAGGTATCAGGAGAAGCAGTAAATCTTAATAATCCTCCATGAATTATCTTTATCAGCTTCTCCTATGATTTTATGACTGTTTCCCCCGGTTTCCAGTCTTTATGCTGAGCTAACCTGCTGAAGGTGCTAGCTTTATATTTAATGGACAGACATAAGAATGGCATCAATATTTTATCCTACTTTCTGCCAAAAAATGACCAAAATGCCAAACTTTTCCTGTAGGTAAACACGATGAGGGGAATATCCTCTACTATAAGTGCTGCATTCAAAATGATACTCAAGGAAAAGTAGGCTACAGTAGTACTACAGTTAACCTAGTAAACCCCTAACCCTTATGTAAACATAGGAGGACAGGTATAAGATAAACTTAAATGGAAATACTGAACTACCTCAAAAATTATACTTTAGCACTATACTTAGTTACTCTCCACCACTGAGTCACTGAATGGCCTTAATACATTGTACATTTAGTGTACAGTACCCAGTGTATTGCTTGCTGTTTATAGCCTAATGGACTTGATCATTATTTGGGTAATGGCGTACAGTACAAAGTGGTTTTAAGAGGTAATACAGACCCCAAAATCAACATCTAGTCACCTCATGGCTGAGCTGGTTGGATCATGACCTTGGGTTCAAATGGATTATATAGCAACCACTGACAAAAAAAATAACACTTCAAAGAGCAGGTGAGAATGGATGAAATCCCTTGAAGATCAAGCTCCATCAACCTGTCTTCGAGGCTTCTGTAGCTGTAGCTGATGTCCTTTCTTCTTTGCCTCCTTCCCAAAGGTTCAGAATGCGTTCAACTGTTAAGATTTACTGTGTGAGGAGAAATACGTTGCAACACACAGAGCCGTCACCTATACCTATTTAGGAAAGCAGCAACAGCAGAAAGTGCGTTACAAGCACTTCCCCGATACCAAGGCCTCAGGATTCTTTTGTGTATGTGTCTGCGTGGAGGCAGAAGGGAGTTGGGTTGCAGCAGAAATAGCACTCCCACCTGCTGAGGATCACTGAAAAAAAAAAAAGACAGAACATTTGCCGTCCCATGCGTCTTCCTCCTTTTATTGCCTTTCATTGCTCACTGAGGTATTGTCTCTTTAGCTCCTGTTCCCCCTCTGTTGTATTTGTGGAAGAAAGCAACACCGGATGGTGTTCAACACTGTAGCACTAATATAACAGGAACTTTGCTGGGGTATGTCAAAACAAAACTGATCTGCCAGTGCCTTGTAAAAACTTGGGGAAATGAATTTATACTAAAAATTCTCAGAGGCCTGTGGTGTAAGAATATGTTAATACTGTCAAATGTTTGTTTAAGGTGACTGTAAGGAAATTATTGGAGTGGGGAGGAGTGCTGAGGCTTTAAAAAAAAAAAAAAAAAAAAGAAAAAGCAAGGCTTAGAGTTATTTATATTTCCTTTGCACCCTCCCCCTTGACTAACTACAACACCCTCCCTCAACATGTCAAAATCATACAACAGCAGAGAACTGGTTCAACTCATGTCTTCATTAACTAAAAAGAGGCAAAGCACAAATAATTTAATGGGTATACTATAGTTCAAAATTATATTTATGGAACAACGGTTTTCACATAGCCACCAACTGTGCATTCAGGACTTGAATTAGCAATTGTCGGTATCAAATATAGCACATATAACAAAATGGTGAATATTCTAGTCGCTGCTAAATAAACAGTTATTACTCCCACCAAATGAAGTAATTGCCCTTGAATTATATTACACATTAAATAAAATATAAATCTGAGGTGAGAAAACAAAAGGCCCTCACCTTTCTCGCCCTCCCTCCATCCCAAATAATTTTTAGAGTCCCTAATGCATGTTTAATGAGATCATTTTCATGACATAACATAAAGAATACAGTATTTAAAGTGAAAATCACAAGCAAACACACACAAGAAAATCACTTAACTAAGTTGTAACCTGCTCTTCTTGTTGCAGACAAATTCTCATTTATTTCCACTCTGGTTTGTAATCTCCGGAAAGCCCTCACAACTCAGAGGTCAAAGGTTTAACATGCACTCCTCCATGTTTTGCGTGGCTCTTCCGAAGATGTCCTTGCAGCTAATGCTCAGTTTACCAAAAACATCTTAGCACTTGCATCAGCTTTATTCCAGTGTAAGCCAGTGGAAAGAAGAGAAACTTGATGCTTGGAGGGGTTAAGTGATTTACAAGAAGTGTCAGCGCTCGAGCACCTAGATTAGCACTCATGCTCTGAAATCTTGATAAAGCCCAGCCAAGAAATTGTTGACTGCAGAGGTAAATACAAACTTACACATGTAAATGTAAACAGGATAAAGATGTCAGTTGAGGTGAAGAAGTCAGAGAGCACAGGACTTTTAATGACCAAAGGAATTCATGAATTTACTAAACTGTATCATCACCGCGCAAACAGTCACTGCCAGAATATTTGCAGAACATCAGCCATTGCAGTGGAGTCAAGTGTTATAAACAGATCAATATCGAATGAACAGTCTTTCACATCTCGGATGTCTGTTTTACATCTTCTTAATGATACTGTTGAGGCAGCTGGTTCCACTGGAAACAGCATTTGAAGGTTTATCTTAACGTGCTTCCTGGTACAAGTTCTTGCTCCCAAGTGAACTTTGAAACCACTAATTCCCTGTCCACATTTGAATGTTATTTGGCTTTACTTCCATCTTACCAGTCTCTTTATCATTTAAACTTTTTGTGGATGATTTTAGGTTGTATTTATTGGTGTTTTAAAGATTTTTCCTCTTCACCTCCTCAACCCACTCCTTGTCTCCCAGTCTATATTTGGTCTAAATTATATTGTACAGGGTAGCTTCACTGTAGTAGCTATTTAAACCCGTTATTCCCCCTCCCCCGCCTCCTCTTCCGTTGAACTCCGAGCCAATGTGGCGAAAATGGAGCAACCTCTTGTTATTTTGGGGCACTACATAATCACACCAACCAGTATTTTTTTTTTTTTATCATAATAACTGTGGTTAGAGTAAATCAAATGTCATAGGCTAATTCCTGTTATTTAACCTTGATAATGTCACACTACACTCCCCCCTATGATAAATGCTTATGTCAAAAGCCAACAGTCACTGCATGTCTGCCATACAGATACAGATGTATGGCCTGCATATCATTAACCTTTGTACTTGTTGACACGTTTGACTTAATAGTGAATTATTTTCTTGAATCTGGTCTTATGTGTTGACAGTGTTACTGAATTCATGCTACCACAGTTAAAAGCAGCCTATAATGGGAAAGGAACCTGACCTATTCTTAAATTGTGATTCAGTGCTTTTGCTATGCATGAGGGCTTTGGGTGTGTATAGTTCTCATCAGCTGTATTAGAGAATGGGCCCTCTTCTCAGTCCCAGTTCTACTTACTTTAACTGTTACCCATTCATGTAATGACTTATTTGACATGTTTAGTTTCAGGGAAATATGTTTGATTGTTTTCTTGCTGAGAGTTAAATGAGAAGATTGTTCTATCAGTCTACCATCACCAGCTAGTTAACTTAGCATAGTAGAAAGACCAGAAACAAGGGGAAACAGCTAACACTATCCTACCATCCATCTACCAGCACATCCGAGGCTAATTACAACCATGTCTCTTAGAAAGTATATTTATATATAAATATTTTGCATCAACAAATAGCCTACATTTTTAAGGAAATGTAATTCTGGTTGGTATATTTTGCAATTTGAAAAAATGTTGATGCTGAATGTATCAGTAAAAATTTTTTTTTTTTTTCATTTTCTGAAAAAATATGCAGTCTTGCTCATTTTGTCTACAGCCTTACTAAAGTTTTTATGGTCATGTTTAGGCACTGGCACCACATGGTTAAGATTAGGGAAAGATCGTGGGCTTGTTTGATACAATAAAAGTCAGTGTTAGTCAGAGATCTGAATCTGTTGCTGTCATTTCCCTGACCTTAACCACAGTGGTTTTGTTGCCTAAACTGAACGACAGATGGGACTCTGGTCTTTGGAATCAACATCCTCTGCTCTGTACACTCACCATCCACCCCGACCACCCCTTGTGACTCAGAAGCAGTTCATAAATGTAGCGCTTCATTCATTAAAAAAATATGTTGCCTTTGAACATAATCCAGGCAGTGACTGTCATTACAACATACTTGGGAAACCGATTTAGTAAAGTAAAAACTTAAGTTCTAGGATATGGGTTTTCTAATTAACATATATATCAAACTATATCTAGTTTGTGTAATACATATAAAAATCAAGTGTCCCCTATAAAATTAATGATTATACATTTTGTTTTTGTATGAATTTAACAAACAGAAACTGTATTCATTAATTGGCTTTGAAGGTGCTACTAGGTGGATTTTGTTACCTATGGACAGAGCCAAGCTAGCTGTTTCCCCTTGTTTCCAGACTTTGTGCTAAGCTAAGCTGACCAGCTGCTGGCAACAGCTACATATTAATTAACACAAAAGCAAATAAGCCTCAACCTCAAGATTTCCAACTTTTCTTTTAAGTTATAGGCTACTCATAAATGTGACAGACACGATGATATCAATATTTGTGACAGTTACATGACTTAATGTAATTTCACCATCATTCCAAGGAGAAACAATACGATTATTTCTAGATAAATACCATTACGGTAATGCTCATTATTTATTATTACACTTCCCTGGTGTTGTCGCAGCGTCAGGGGAGGTGATATTTCTTGCTTGGTCTCATGCCAGCACATTCTTGGGACCAGACGTTATATCTGCTGTCCACTCGTCACACGGGCTCACATAAAAAGCTGCCCATTGTCTTCAGCAGCCGCTGTTTGACTCTCCACACCTCTGCAGTCACCCATTCACAGGTAACAAAATTATTGTTTTAGTGTATTGTTCAAGTATTTAAAGCTTTCTGTGTGTATTGAACAACTGTATTTGTAGTGTTGTCATTTTATAAAAGCCTGAATAAGTATTGCCAGAGCTTTTTGAATATTTTAGACCAGTTGATAAAACTTATTATAGACAATAGGGCAGTGTTTTACCAGTTTTACAGAGGTAAAACTTCTATTTCAGTAAAACAATCAATAATCATAAAACAAAATCTGCCCAATGAGTAGACTCGATCACCAGATCTTTTGCTTGTGACTTTTGCTTCTGCTGTGTTGGATTCTGTCAGTTATCAGATACAGATGGTGTAGCTTTTAACAAAGTTGTTGAGCTGTCATTAATCATACAGCAAAAAAGTGAGACGATGCTTGATAAAGTGGAGGGCATTGTTCTCGACATATCCTTGCTTTAATCCTGTTGTCAGAGGATGCTGAGGACTTTGTGTGCTATGTGGCGCCTTGATGGGTCAAATTACAATGTGGTTCAATGGGGTGACGCATTACCCCTAAACTGTACTAATGCATACCACTGTGTCTCTTATGTGTTGTTTGTTGTTGTGAAACTAAAACATAGTGTGAGGTAAGAACATTTCTATTATCCTCCATCTCTGAATGCTACTGTGATGGTTCATATTTGCGTAACTGATTGAACTGCTCCTGATTGAAAGAAAGCTAAATTTGAGATAAACAGAACCTCTTTTATTGTCTCACCTAAACCTCATTATGATTGCCAATAGCATCATCGCCCTCATTTGTCACTGTTTGCTGTTTCAGGAGCCTGACAGACTCAGCGCGATGAATCCCAAAGGGGATAAGGTGAGCCAGTTATATTCTACAGTGTTAATCCTCCATGCATGGAGAGGGGACACATTGTCCTTATGCACATGGCAAAGAACTGGCAGTGGTTATCTGTCAGATTTGTTATCTGCCTCCCTGAGAGCTTTCCCCTTGACTGCATCCTAATAATAAAGCATTATCTTTTCACATGTTGCTGCAGTAAGTGTTGTCAAGTTTGACGCTCACAGGTCCTTCCATACATGTATGTAATGTACTTTTTACTTCTGGTGAGCTGAGCAGGAACATCTCAGAGTTATTTCAGTATAAAAGTCCTCAAAGAAACTGAAGTTTGTAAAGATCAGTTTTAGTAGAAAGATGTTGATGCAACTCATTGCAAGGTGTAGCCTACTTGTATACTAATATATATATATATCTATATATATATAGATATATATAATGTGTGTTCCCCTTTACGAAACTGAATAATGTCAATGACTGTTGATTTATGACCAAAATTTAATTCTCTATTTAATTGTGACATTATATTGACAAAAACCTTTTTCCACAGCCGAAGTCGAAGATTTCGGCTTCTCGCAAGCTCTCCCTCAAGGTGAGTAGAATATATATCAGATGATATATCAGTGGTTCCCAGCGTTTTTTGTTTATCATACCCCCACAGACCAGTCAGATGAACACTTATCGTGTTCCATTATGTGTTCATTTGAAATGAATGAACTAGATATCATCTAACTAACAATTATATAAAACATAATGTTTTCATACAATTGAATGTCAATATTGTGGTAATTTATACTACTATTACTGCTGCTATGAATGGCGGAAGACATTTCAACCATTTCTCCATTAGCTTGTTTAGCTAACCATGTCAGCTGTTTATCCATTACTTTTAGATATTTCACTATTCATCCTTTACTTTTACCTTTTTTTATATTTCAACCATATATCTTGACTATTACTTTAGGCTAACTACTTCAACCATTAGCTAACATATCAATGATTTCATCCATTATTTTTAGCCAATTATTGCAAGTGTTTGATATTTTTAGCTAACCTATTTTTAGGTTCTGCTTGTTTGCTAACTGGTGTTCACACACAGTCACAGCACATGGTGTTAAGGTGTTACAGCTGAATCCATACAACAACAAATTTCCTAATCAAAACGTAATAATTTAATTTCTTTTTAAATTCATCGACCTATACAAACCCAAGCAACTGTGGTGTCTCTGGTTGGGAATCACTGCTGTATAACATACAAGCTGTTGTGATAGTGTACACATGTACTAACATATATAGGCGACTGTAAATTCAACCGTTATATCTTTTTGTCGTCTATTGAAATAAATTTGGAGCAACTTTGAGTCTGTTGAGGATTTCCATGCCCTGTTTTGAATGATATCTGTTTTGTCCAATCAGATGCTTCTCCTCACAAGAGCCTGTGAGGATTTGGAGAGGGAAAGGCAGGAGAGAGAGGAAGAAAAAGTACGGTATCTAGGAGAGAAGTTGCCCCCTTTGCAACTGTCTGGACTGTCACCGGATGAGTTACAAGTAAGGGTCATAAACCACAAAAAAACAGCTTTTTTTCCCCCCACATGAGAAAATATATTAACATATTTGAGTAATATTTTTTTACCCTCAGAATCTATGCAAGCAGCTTCATTCAAAAATTGATGTTGTGGATGAGGAGAGATATGACTGTGAATCCAAAGTGAGCAAGCACAACAAAGATGTAAGTCTCTGAACATCTTCCTTATTATGTTGCACAGTGCAGTCAATATTTTAAAATGAAAAAAAGTTTTTCTCTTTTACTTGAAACCAGAGAATAAAACCTGGAGAGCAAACTTTGACTTCTTGAAAGTTTGCTTAATGTACTGTATTCCAGCACAAATCTATGCAATGTAATTGTTGCTACAGTTTTAGCAAATTCAGTCCTTTAGAAAAAGGCTTGGTCAGTAAAATTCAGACCTTCCCAGAAGCATGAACGGTTGATTTTTGCTGTAGCTGTTTTCGTGTTTGTTTCTGTAACTCTGTCATATTTTATTTTAGATCCATGAGCTGAAACTGAAGGTACAGGACCTTGGAGGCAAGTTCAAAAAGCCTGCCCTGAGAAAGGTGAGGGTGTCAGCAGATGAGATGATGAGAGCTCTTCTGGGCTCCAAACACAAGGGCTCAATGGACCTCAGAGCCAACCTCAAGTCTGTGAAGAAGGAGGATGTCAAACAGGACAAGGTAACAGACTCAGTACTCCCAAACCTTTAGTCTGTTAGTGTGATGGTTCTCACAATGCCTTGATACTTCCTACTGCACACAAATATTGATTACTAGGGAAAGATAATTCATCTCCTCGGGAATAAGATGTGTTTTAATTTTTATTTCCATTTTTCTCTTCAATCCCAGGTGCTTACTAGTGAAGTGGGTGACTGGCGTAAGAATGTGGAGGCCATGTCCGGCATGGAGGGCCGCAAGAAGATGTTCGATACAGGCGGCGGAGGACAGTGAGACACTGATGAGTTAAAAGCAGGAAAAAGAAACTGGCTAGACAGAAATATAGAATAATGATCTCAGCGCTAATTGACTTAGGAATTAAGCATAAAGGTCAAAAGCATGTACAACCCCCAGTTCATCAGCTGTGCCTCCATTTGCTTGGTGGCTGTTTCCTAAGCAATAACTCAAAGCACTTAAAGTGTACGATGAGTAGAGACCCGGAGTTTTTTATTACCATTTTTGTTTTGTTATGACATCTTTAGAAAATTAAAGTGGATCCGAATAAACATATATTGTTTCAGTCTTTGATGTTCCATATCTGTACTTGACTTTATCATGTTTCATTTTATTGGCACTCATTTGTTTATGTGCGGCATGCGAGAGGATGGAAAGCAGCTTAGCTGATGATGGATTAAAAAAAGGAGGATGAAAAGTCAAGGGAGGGGGAACAACAGGTGTTACCTACCTAAATTCAACTTCATAGTGTTTAAATAGATCTTGCAGACACATCCATAAAAAGAGGAGTGAAAGAATGTTTTAAAGTAAACTCATTCAATTGAAATTGGATATAACAAATAGAGTCTCATGATAAAATAAAGATGAAGCTTTGGGAATTTTGAATGAGCAATGAGGTCATTAAATTCAAAAGAAAATCAGCTTCCAATATGATTATAACCGCCAAGTAAGTTTTTTGGCCATTATCAGAATTATGTTTTGCTCATTTTAATTTCAGAAATAATGAACAGAATTGAATGTACTTTGGAGTTTAATAGAACTACTTCTTGATGTGTTATATTTAAAGTAGTTTGATGATAGAAATAAACCGCAGGAGATGTGACTTTCCACCAGATGGTGAATCTTCAAACACCTGGGCCTGTGTATTTTTAGCCATGTTGTTGTCCTCCATAACTCCTAGCCTTGGAAAGCAAAACTTGAGCTGGATAGCACAACCCGCTGCCATTGTTGTCCTACACATTGCATGCATGCATGTGCTTCTGCTGTATGTGTCAGTGGGTTGACTCACGGTTGCCACTCAGCCATCGCTATTTGAAGTATGATAGTTACACCAACAATAGCCTAAAGATCCCTGAATGTGCGCTTCAGTTGGTTTATTGTACGTCTTTATGGGCTGTTTATGGAAAGAAGAGCATTTTAAGAGCAAGTACACGTCACTCCAACATGTCAAAGTCCACTAACTCATAATCTGGGGGATAACAATGTCTGATGATTGTGTGACATATGAATGATGAAAAGTCACATCCTTCTCATCTCAGTTTGTCCTATCAATCTACACGTGCAGCGTTAAATACATGTGCGCCAGGCCGACATTTGTGCTCATGTTGAAAAGCTGATATATAGCCTCTTGTCTGCCCTTGCGCTCAGTCTTGGCAAGCTGGTAATGAAAAGTCTGGATACATGCTCTGTGTGTCTATAAATAAACAGGCACTGATGAGAGCGACCTTCACATAGAACAAATGTTCCAGATGTGATATCCAGAGTGCATTCATGTCAACACCACATGATGGCGTCTGTTAAATACAATGCAAAGGTCATGACGCTGGAGTCTCCCAGGAAACTTGTTGAGATGACAAACACATTCAAGTGTGGCTTGACGTGCCAAAACCACAGGCAGTGTCAGTGGGGTGCAACACACTGGTCACACTTGTGCTGTTCAGTTAGTGCCACTTGGTGGCAGTCAACAGTTGCTGTAATATTTCTACTGTGGTAAATATTAAAAAACAGATAACTGAATAGTATGTGTTCAGCTTTGGAAATTCACTAAGACACCAAAAATGGTCTCATAATTGGTCTCTAGTTTAAAAATTCTCAGTTTAATTTTTTGTGGCACATGCAATTTCAGATTTTTCAATAATAATTTTCCAAAATGAAAAGTCTGAAAGGAAAGCAAATGCATTTTATTTTATCTAGTAAGTTTAAGTTTGACAGACAATTGCTCCTCTTAGAGAAACTAAGACTCACTACTGCAGCACCTGGGGGAAAAGATTTTATTAAATTTTATTTTATTAAATTTTATTAATGGAAAAATGTTAGTAGAAGAAAGTTGAGTCAGTTCCTGCCTGTTGCAGAGTAAAACACAGATGCTAAGTGTTATCACCACGCTTTACAGTCCTCGAGATAGAGAACATCCTGTTTTAGTGATACTATACCTGGGAGTTAGTCAACGCTGTCTTAGAACCAACAGTTGTATTTCTAGGCTATAAAAATAAAACTGACATTAAAAAAAAGAAAAACATAAAGAAACTCCCTCTAGCTATTCCCTCATGTTTTACAACTCTTGATCCACATTCTTGAGGAGAAAGGAAACTGTATTTCCACAAGTTGTGAGATGGAAGAACAAGTGGAGCCTGACAATAAATAATTACCACTGTGGCTCAAAGCAGTGCCAGCTCATTTCACTCATGAAATAACCCAAAAGGAAAAGAAAAATGAGCGTTAGTCTGCAAAGGAAACACCGAAGCAGATTACAGTGTTTGCAGTGTGTATGTGCGTGGCTTGATGAGGAAGTGTGATTGATATCATACAGCACGAGCAGTGTATTTATTGCTGATGGGACCTGGAGGGAGGGGGTGTTTGTGTGTGTGCGTGTGTGTGTGTGTGTGTGTATACAATATTGAGTTGACAGTAACAGAGGGTGGCCTGGTGATTAGACAGACTGCCCTGTGACTGGAAGCTGCAGGCTTAATCCTTAATGTTGTGTACGCAAGCAGTCATGTGTCTTGTCAAAATGTCCTTCAGCAAGATAGTGTATAGGGTGAGCCTGTGAGTAGAAGTCACAATAAAAGTGGCATTTTGGGAGCATCTAGCTTCTGTAGTATGATGTATTTCCTGTTCAAACATGTCCACAATGACTGATGCTGGTTATTTTGCCAGTGTTATGAGGTTTCGTGAGTCTAGCTATATTTTAACTTATAGCACATAAGCCTGTATTTTCTCTCTTTTTAACTTATGAAATCATGATCTAACCTTACATGCAAAGTGGTCAACAAGCACACACCTGAAAAATGGCTTGAAAATAAAATGATTACTGATCTTAAAACCTTTTGATTACAATCATGATCCTGTCTCTTCAAAATTAAGTGATAAGTGATGCTGAACCAGATTCACAAAGGCTCAAACATGGTAATCAAAAATGCAGAAATTAGTTTTTTTGCCTGTTTTTTAATACTTTTCCTTTTTATCCTGGTACAAAAAATACTGCCACAGTGATACTGTTTTCAACTGACATGTGAGACTAAACCTGTAATTGGCAAACCATTTTCTCGTAAATTTAAACTGCAACTCGCCCCCCCCCCCCCAATTATCTGTATCCTGCAGTTCAGATGCTTGGCAACAAGGATGAACAGGATAAATTAAAGGCTCTTTTATAGAAGTTGCTCAATAAACAGGCTTGCAGTAGACAATGTGGAGACGGAGAGAGTCAGATAAACAACTCAAAGAGCAGGGCAGGCCAGCTGCAGACGAGCAGTTGCTTTTAAAACTCAGACAAATTATACTGAACGGTTCAGGTAAACACAGGGCTGGAGCTGACAGAATGACCAGATTCTCTTTTGCTCTCGCACGTGTAGCTTTATCCTCAATCTTTTAGCATTATATCATCATGTGCATAATGTATGATGCATTTATGCAGGCTTCATGTTTAAAATGGAAAGGTGTCAGCCAAAGCCAGCTATGTTACCTATGCATCATGAAACAGGACGTTGCACAACTAATACATTGTTTTCTGAGAAAGCAAGTGAGGATTTATTCATATACTTCCCCACTTTTACATTCCCTCATTGGTTTGGGGCTGCAAACTATGTAAAACCTATTTTTTCTTTAACCTTTGGGCTCACGCGTCCCTAAAGTAGCTACTGTATGTGTTCACAGCTTTCTGTGGTGATGTGACAAATAAGCAGCTTGAGGCAAATCCTGTTTCTTTTCTGTCTATATTTGGAGGTAATGACACCGAAAAGGAGCTTTAAAAAAGCATTAGACTGGTAGATTCAAGGGTTTGAACTGAGCAAAACACACACACATGCAGTATATGCAATATGCTCCCACTCAGTCAAAAAATGTTAATTGGATTCGGCGTGAATCTCTTTCCAACCTCAATGAAACATTCATGGGAAGCAGATAGAAATGACTGGAAACAAAAAGGATGAAGATCCCTTTGACCCGGCGAAAAGGTTAAGAGTTAACTTCACCTCACTTGAACTCAAACTAAAAGTTGCCAAATGGGGCAATCTCAGTATTTTTGTATTCTACCTCATATTTAAATATCCATATAGTAATGGTTTCTAAAATGATATGCAGAGAAGCTGAATATAATGTAACATTTGGTGTATGTACTGAAAATTGTCTTTTTGCTGGACAGCAGTAGACTAAGAATAATAGTTGAATATTCTTTTTGAGGATGAACTTTTGTCTGTGGAATACAGATGGAAAATAGCCTTTTGGCTGACTCTGGTTCATCCACAGCAAAGCTTATTAATCAGTACCGTTCTTCTTAAAGGAGCTATTTGAAAGTTTTACGACTGTGACATAACAAACATCAACACAAACAGCTGTTTACTTACCAGTCTAGAAGAAATGTTGCGAGTTCAGTATCAAAATTCATTCCTTTACTTCCTAAGAGCTGTCTCCAGTAGTGGAAAGCAACGCCAATGTTAACTCTATCATGTCTTTTCTTCCACTGGAGTTAGCACACTAACCAGCTAGCTCTCTTCACTTTCCCGTAGTGACTCACTGTAGCCTCCAAACTGCCCAGATGACATGGCCTATTGTAACCTCCTATGTTGTAAACGCAACAATGGCCGAGGCTCTTGTCAAGGGACATTCATCACCATTTGCTCCCGGCAAAGACACACGTAGTAGTGGAGAAAACATTCAAAGAGCCCCTTTTAAATGAACCAATAAATAAATAATGTGTCATATTATGTTTCTCCAAATTTACAAAACCAAACATGTTCAAGCAGGACTGATCAGTTCTGAGCTGTAAACACAAAGTTGACACATACTACCTAGTAAAGTTGATATGACAAACATGCAAGCAGACATCTAGCTGCCTCCTTTTAGCTCTGTTTTAGTCTACACCAATTCCTGACAAAAATATTTGGGTCTTAAGCAGTTTAACTAGTCATTAACTTTGTGACTGGCAGGCGGTGTACGGTGGATTTATAAGAGCTTTTTTTTTCTGAAAACAGCAGGCAGCTAGCTGTTGCAGCAGGAAACAAAGTTCACGACAGTGGTGAGAGTGAACGTTAAAACTGCTGACTGTAAAACCAAAACAATGAGCTGAAAGAT